AAAATGGCCAATGTTTGAAAAAAAAATTGCTGTGTCAGTGCGACACTGAGTGGCAGATTTTTCTTTGCTGCATCTGTCAACGCTTTGTTTTCTTTTTTTTTCGCCATTGCGTTAGAAAATATGGTATTAGTAAAATAGAATATTGACTTGGAAAATAAAACGATTTAAAGGAAAGTTGCGCAAATTTACAGTACTCATTTCGCACTACCTCCCGCCCGCTCCCGCTTTCCAATCACCTTTTTTCTCGCTTTTTTGACCGCTTGTTGAATTTGACCGGACAATTTCCGCTTTATTTTCGACCACACAAACCCCGAAATATCACCGCTCGCTCGCTCGCACGCATTTAAAATTCGGACTAACAGAAACATTTCCGAGGTTCACATTGTCTTTATGGTTTTTATAGATGTTGAACAGCTGACAAAAGTTATATACACGCAACCTGACCCTTTGGCCTCGATTTGGCTTGGACTGAATATTTTATTTTAAACAATATTCTGACGTGAAATACAAAATGTTTTCTTTCCTGATTATTGAGTCTTCGCAATGTGTTTTGTATAATTATTGTTGTTTTCCTCCGAGGCGAAGACAAGCTGAAGGACCATGAAGCTAAATGGCAGTTTCTGCATGGGCTGACTGAAAGAATATATTTCTAAGCCTAAAATAAACCTAGTTTCTGATAATTTTGTGTTTGGAATGTCTGTCAACCGTGTCCCAATAATTTGTTTGGAATGTCGTCCCCGTTGGTTTCTCCCACAGTTAGCTGGCATCGTTGTCGCTGGGTGTATATGATAGAGCAAAGTCCCTCCACTGTGGAACAGAGGGAAGTTGTGCAACCAAATTTGCAGTTTTTCGCCGATAAAAAAATAACTAAGGCAAAAACTCACGGTTTTTCAGCATTTTTGTAATAAAGACATTATTCTCTATCAATAATCCGCCCAAAATAGGAACATTTCTACTAATTCTTGTGTTTTTTCGACGTTTTTTGAAAAACCTGCGATTAGGCTGCGAAAGTAGAACATTCCGGGGGGGATGAAGAGCATCGCCAGGCAATGGACGCGGAGTTCTTTGGTAACGACCGCAAACGTATCCGTGTCCAGCCATTGGTTGGCCACACAGAGGTCAAAATACGCGTTCTATTTTTATGCGTTAAGTTTGGCTCTTCCGTTTCACCGCCTCCGGAATGTTCTACTTTCGCAGCGGTGTGAATCTTGAGTTTCGAAATTGTTCTTCGACTGGCCACCAAATATTTATGGCTGTAACTAAATTTTTAAGCCCAATAAATTATTCATACATGTCAAGCTCTGTTCGATTTTTTCAGGGCATGTGGCCGTTTTTAGTCGAAAATATTTTTTGTGGGAACAATTTTACGTATACGTATACGGTTTAGACCGAAGTCATTCAATGATCATGACCTAATTTTAAAAATTGAATGTCAAATTTTACCAGACATGGACCGACGTGGATTCGGTATCGTTATTTTTGGAATTAATCATTAAGATTTCCTCGTTTCTCTGCTCTGTCAAAATGAGTTACCTATGTTTTTTTTTCACGTAACTGTCTCATTAAAATAAAATAACATACCGGTATTACATTTAGAACAAGCACCCAAAACACGTAACAAGCCTGAGAGGTCCCAGTCCAGTTGCTTTCACGATACAAGTGTCATAGAACTATTAGATTTGAAGTACTGTTCAGAATTTAATAATAGTTAATACTAGTTAGTTGTACGTTCACACTTTACTATCAAAACCACCATTTCGACTACTCCTGCGCCAGTGATCAGTGTTTGGGCAAGCGGTTGGTGTTTTTAATGAGCGAGCGAGCCAAAAAAAAAAAAAAACGCGATTAAAATGCGGTCGGTTTCCGGTCGGACAAGACAGCATGGTCGGAAATTAAGCGTTAAGCGGTCGATGTAAAAGCGGAAGATTGGGCGAAATGAGTACTGTATGACCATGTTTCTCCGACGAAGTCTCGACTGACAATAATGCTGACAATGAACGTTAGATAAACATGCATTGTTTGCAACTGGAAGCTTATCACCCGTTATATCAGAATCGTCAACAACAGAGTATACAGATAAGATGTTATCATTTAAACCCTTTCAAAGATAAACAATATGCAAACGGCAGTTGTAGTCTTTTCTGTTAGCGTTTTAAAACACTGATTTGAGCGACGTTATTCCGCAATTTGGATCTTTTGTAAACCTGGGATGATGTATCAAGGTCTAAAGTGAACGTTTTATCAACTTTTGAAAAATCAAGAAAAAAGTGAAAATTTCCCTTTTTGCTACCTTAATTCAATATAAAAGCAACATATTTCTAATGTGTAGCATGTTTTGTATTCGTTAAACATTTATCTCAATTTCAATAAACTTATAACTGGTTTACCTGACTTCTGGCCTTTGTACTACAGCTATTCTGACTGGCTTGGATGATTGAAGAAGTCTTCTAACTTCCTGAACTCTCAGATCATCAGGAAATCGCAGTTTGAGTAATTCCTGGTCTAAACATTCCATACCATCTTCATCTTCATCTAGAGGTTCTTCTTCAATCTAAGAATTGTGACAGTGTTATAAATTTCATTCATGAGTGGTGCAAGTTATTCAATAAATACACCATTACAAATACAAATACAATGATAATGAATTTTTAGACAGATTTATGAATAATGGATCCATGTCTATGAAATGTTCTCACTACTTGTTTATTTTGTCTATTATATAAAAGTATGTATCTAATAAGTTACAACTAATTAATATTACCATTGTAACTTCAGCTGTACTATTGAGGGCACTGCTTCATGTGTGGCCATTTTAATTTCTAGATCTCAACAAGTTTATTTAATGGTAAATAAAGCCCATTTCGTATCATTATGTAATAAATAACTTAAGTAGTATCTGAGGATAATGCTTTAAACTAATAGTTTGAATAGCATCTATCTATCCTAAGATGCTAAATGATTTTAAAAACTGTAATTTCAGTCTAGATTTGAATCTATTGAATTGCCAACAGATGTGGTGTGAACTGAAAACCTACACATGAAGTATGTGTACAGTCAAAGAGCAGTGATAATTGAGTTAAGTTTCTTACTTAATAATGAATTATCATAAATAACATATTGTACAGATAATATTGTCTAGTGGATATCCCCACATTTATTTACAGTTATTGATTATTGCAAGCCCACTTCTGAGGTTGTGATCTTGGCAAGTACACAGCTGATGAAACTAGCATTGATTTTACTTACCAAGGACTGTAGTGTGTATGTGAGAACATGCAACTACCAGGGATTGATTATTTTCACTGGCCATATGTTGGATTATCTGCTACACTATGGCGATGATTGCTTATGTGTGTCATGTGCATGTAATTAGCTGTTGTTATTTTATAAGTTGTGTGTATGTGATTATCTGCTGCCATGTACAGGTGAGGCATAATTCATCTGGGTGTGTTTTGAGGATAAATTGTTATGTGTTCCAGACATGGGTTGAAATCGTTGCTTGTACAAGCTGAAGATTAAATACCAAAATACAAAAATCACAGAGGTGTGTCTTATCTGGAGATGCGCTTCTAACATAGATCAAATATAGTACACTTGTACAATATAATGTTAGTTGCAATAATTGTGCAGTTTTTTCAAGATCCAGCATTCAGAATCTATTAACATTTCTTGTCTATCATTGAGATTGATGCTATGAAAGAGTCAACAAATACACCAATTACCGGTGGTGGATGTTCCTTTTTCTCCAAGAGACGAGCTTCTGCAGACAGGTCTTGTCGTCCAATCAGCATATATGCTGTCTCTGGCCAATCAGGTGGGGGATCACTTCTACAACGATATATAGCATCACGCAATGGAACCAAAATTCCAAAGGGTAAGCACTCCAAGTCCTGTAGTGTTATTTTCATATTTGTCATACATAGAACAACCCTTTCAGCATTGGAACACTCATCATTGAATGACAACATGCATTTCTCTTCAGCAGTGGCATACTGCTTTGGCCCTAGGAAATTCAAGTATTGAATAGCTTACAAGTAATGCATAAGTTATTGATAAACTTAAGTAATTGCAGCATATTGTATTTGTCAATGATTGGTTGTTCATTCACATGTAAATAAATTTAGGCATTAGAATTTTTCAGGTGGGAGGGGGGAACAGCACCCTCTACTGACTAAGGGGGAAGTGAATTGTGGGTACCCCATAGTCATAATATTGATACTTTGATACTGCCGCTGCTACACAACATGTACTCGTAGGTGGTATTTGGGGTCTGACTATTGTATGAGTGTATTAAAGTAACCCTAACCCTAAAAATAGTTGTGGTGGCGTTATATTATTTGTCAACCAACTTGTTTAGACGGTGATTTTACAACAAAGCAGACATCACAATTATATGCTTTGCCTGTAGCTCCACTCATCATTGACCATGCGGGATGACGTCACCAACTATATGCCAAACAAAATGTCACATCTATAAATCTCCTTACACCATATTTGTTTATATAAACAATTTGCCAGGTGAGCTTATTTCTTTCTAGAAGTGGTTTGATCTAACCAAGGAAGTATGCAAGTCAACATTTAAATGTTTATATCTACACTGTTCGCTGCTCACAGAGCAAAAACCAGACTGAAGAATTACATTAGGGGTACCTACAAGTCAAGAAGCAGAGGGCGCTATTGGTCCCTACATGATCCCATTGAAATTCTTTAGCCTTGTGATTTTATTATGACTGATTACTTGTTATTAAATGTGAAATATAATAAACAATGAAGTAGTATAAATTAAATGTATGTAAAGATACATGTACATACCTGTTGCATGTAATCTGTGTATATATTGTTCTTCTAGTTGCTGTACACTGGTGACAGTGTCGGAAGTTAAAAAAGTCGCATATAACTGCAGATGAAAATAATGTAATTATTGTTGAGTCCTCTGGATGGTTGTGAACAAAATTGTACTATGCTAAAGTATCAATTAACCCTACCGGTACATACAACTTCCATCAATGAAAATTACATACAACTTCTATCAATGAGTCTTGCATACAATTTCTTTCAATGAGTCTTACATAAAATTTCTGTCAATGAGTCTTACATACAATTTCTTTCAGTGAGTCTTACATAAAATTTCTGTCAATGAGTCTTACATACAATTTCTTTCAGTGAGTCTTACATAAAATTTCTGTCAATGAGTCTTACATACAATTTCTTTCAATGAGTCTTGCATACAATTTCTATCAATGAGTCTTGCATACAATTTCTATCAATGAGTCTTGCATACAATTTCTATCAATGAGTCTTGCATACAGTTTCTTTCAATGAGTCTTACATACAATTTCTTTCAATGAGTCTTGCATACAATTTCTATCAATGAGTCTTGCATACAGTTTCTATCAATGAGTCTTGCATACAATTTCTTTCAATGAGTCTTGCATACAATTTCTATCAATGAGTCTTGCATACAATTTCTTTCAATGAGTCTTGCATACAATTTCTTTCAATGAGTCTTGCATACAATTTCTATCAATGAGTCTTGCATACAATTTCTTTCAATGAGTCTTGCATACAATTTCTTTCAATGAGTCTTGCATACAATTTCTATCAATGAGTCTTGTGTACAGTTTCTTTCAATGAGTCTTGCATACACTTTTTTTCAATGAGTCTTGCATACAATTTCTTTCAATGAGTCTTGCATACAATTTCTATCAATGAGTCTTGCATACGATTTCTTTCAATGAGTCTTGCATACAATTTCTTTCAATGAGTCTTACATACAATTTCTTTCAATGAGTCTTACATACAATTTCTCTCAATGAGTCTTACATACAATTTCTTTCAATGAGTCTTGCATACAATTTCTATCAATGAGTCTTGCCTACAATTTCTTTCAATGAGTCTTACATCCAATTTCTTTCAATGAGTCTTACATCCAATTTCTATAAATGAACCTTACATACAATTTCTATAAATGAACCTTACATACAATTTCTATAAATGAACTTTACATACAAATTCTATAAATGAGCCTTACATGCAAATTCTATAAATGAGCCTTACATGCAAATTCTATAAATGAACCTTACATACAAATTCTATAAATGAACTTTACATACAAATTCTATAAATGAACCTTACATACAAATCTATCAATGAACCCTACATACAAATTCTATAAATGAACTTTACATACAAATTCTATAAATGAACCTTACATACAATTTCTATAAATGAACGTTACATACAAATCTATCAAGGAACCTTACATGCAATTTCTATCAATGAACCTTATACAAAACACATACATGTGTAACTGTTATCACAATCAACAATGTTACAAACTATTGATACACACTACACATCATTCCGTCCAGATCACTCTATATGACACTCAAGCATGTTAAATTAGGTTATCAGTAAAAGTAAAATACAACTCACCAGAATTACATCATGAGATTTCTTATTGATGTTTAAAAGATATGGGTAAGCAGTAATTGGAATGCCTTTGATCAAGTGAAACAAACTCTGGTGTACACTGGGGGGTTCTTTTGTAATATAGCTAGCAAACTGCATCATGGAAGGGTGCTCTGTAAAGTAAGCATTGCAGACTTGAGCTGATAATATGTATAGCAAATTAACAGCTCACCATGGGGTGATCAGTTGAATCTTTTTGGCTTTTTCGCAAAATTTATAGTAAAATTTATATTGCTGAAGATTATCATCAAAATTGTTTTCATCTTCACCATGCAAGTGACTGTTTTTAGTCGTATGTCAGCAGTTATCAATCAATTACATGTATTGTCCATAGTAACCCAGTATATAGAATTATACATACAAAATTTGCAGTAATCAAGTAATTTCTCTTACCTGGTTGCATCTGACTATTTTCCACATTAACATTAGCTACTACCATAGGATGATCTCTAAAGTAGATATCTACATAGCTAGTCCATTGTAAATCACTGTAAGAAAACACAAATAAACAAGTCATTGAAAATGACACAGTCCCCGTTAAATTTTTGAAAGTTCTCTTTGTGCTCGTCATATTAAAGCGGAGGGGTTGTCGCGAGCGTGTCCTTGAAACTTGAGTTCCAAGTGGCTTATACAACAGATTGTTTATTTACATCAAAACACATGTTCCTTGTACCGTTAAAATCCTATTATAAACCGCATACCTAATAGTAACCACACCCCCGATTTCGGCTTCAGTGTTAAAGAGTTCTCAACAAAAATTGAAAACATGAAAAGTATCTATTACTAACCGCACCCCCAATTCAACAAGACCGTGACTGACTTTGTTTCAACCAGCTGGTACATTGTTCCTAATCCTATTCATTTGTTTCGACAACGTGCCTAAAAATATTCACACCACTTTATTGTTCAGTAGGGTTAGGATGTCAAACACGCAGTGAAACTGCTCTTGTTCTTGTGACAACTTTTGTCAATACTCTTTATGAATACGTTCGTGTGTCGTAAGTTTTCGACAATGAGCTGTTATCACCGAAAAACTGTTAAATGCTTTTTCAATGCTCAGTTTATCTTTAAAAAAACAAAAAATTTCGTAATTTAAAAAAAAAAGTCGTTTTCCCATGCAAATCAAAGCCAAAAGATCGAACTACTTTATCGGTAAATCTCTTCCGGGTTTCGTTCACCATGAAGTCGGTGACCTGTCATTAACATATTTAAATGAACCAAGGTAATTTGAACACGTGGGCACCATCCAGCATTTTGATTGGTTAATTAGCGATTTGACCTATCTGGTCAAGTAACGTCTCGTGCGCATTCAAACTACATGGCAGATGTCGTATCGCATCGATCGTTTACATGTGACTGAAATAATTCGCTTACGGTGAAACTAAGTTGAATTTTACTTGCATTTGATAACAATTCAACGAATTTAGTTTTCGTGCGTTATTATAATCACAACTGAGTAATAATCAACAATTTCAACACTTCGAAAACAATTAAGTTATTCACTTGTGAGCCGAAGCATGGCCGGATTGCGTTACCGTACCCATGGTACCGTTTTTATTTGAAACTCCTGTCAGAATATACTTTCCGTTACGAAGAAAATTAAAAAAATAAATGCATATTACACTAAATATACTGAGTAATTTTTTTTCATGTGAACAGTTTTTTTGTGACGTGACGTGACGCTTATCACTCTTCCCTGACATCACGTTTATATTCAAAAGATTGTACGGTGTATTGTCTGTTTTGTGCAAGTGATGTGAGAAAAAAATTACCACGCCCATTTAGTGATTGCAATATGTACGTAATAGAAACCGCACCCCGAACTTGAGCTGTTGATCCCAATTTTTTATTTGATACATTGTAATATAAACCGTGGTTTATAATAGGATTTTAACGGTAGTAGTAATATGGCCAAAAATAAAAACAGCCGTTATTCGGCCATCTTTGATCTGATTATGAAACACACTGATATGTATGATCTTTGTGCCAAATATGAATGGAAATGGTACATAAATTGTGGAAATATAGCAGTAAGGCCAAAAAGTCAGATGGCTGTCAATCCAGATTTGGAAACAAATTGTCATGGGCATGCATCCTAACATGTATAAAGTACATGTATGTGCCAAATTTGAATGAAAACTGACAGAGCACGGCCAAGATACCGCATAAAAAAACAAAAAACAAGATGCCTGCCAGTTGACCATCTTTGATCCAATTGTGAAATAAATTGTCATGGACATGTATCCTAACATGTATAATCTATGTACCAAGTTTGAATGACAACTGACAAAGCATGTCCAAAATACAACATTTTCAAAAAACAAGATGGCTGCCAGTCGGCCATTTTAAATCGAATCGCTAAACTACTGCATGTGCATATGTCCCACATAAGGTACTAGGCACATGCAAAGAATGAACGGAATCACTCCACAGGATTCTGAAATATGACTCTGGACAGACTGACGCATGGACGGACAGACACACGGACGAACGGACAGACTAAGGAACTAACGGATGGTTGGGGACATGTATCCTAACATGTATGATCTATGTAATAAATTTGAATGAAAACTGACAAAGCATGTCCAAAATACAACATTTTCAACAACAAAAATGGCTGCCAGTCGGCCATTTTGAATCAAAACGCTAAACCACTGCATGTGCATATGTCCCACATAAAGTACTAGGCACATGCAAAGAATGAACGGAATCGGTCCAAGGGATTCTGAGATATGACTCCGGATGGACGCACAGACACACGGACGGAGACCGAATTATAAGTCCCTGTTTTCGGACTTCGTCCGAACGGGGACTAATAATTCACATTATTATTTTTCCTGATGTACAATGCTGAAAGTTAGGCCAGGGTGTGGGTTGAGGATTCATATTCTGGTTCAAGTTAGTGTGATTATAAATATTCTCAGAAGATCGAGGTTCTTCTTTACCTGGCTAATTGAGTTAGTATAGTTGCCAAATCCACAGAACGTTTAGATAACATGTTGTCCAACTTCAATTCCTACAAATAAGTAAACAGGTAATGAGTTACAGTCAATATATTCATGCTATTCTATATGCCATTACCGGTAATTCACAATGTGATATCTTGTGTGTCACTTCTCACAATGTGCAGGCCAAGACCATGCCTGCTAGCATACAGCAATGTGTATAAAGAGCACACATGTAAACTGTAATGACACAGAGCCAAGTTTGAACAAATCAGATGATGTTGTAGGTCAACTAAAATTACCTCATACACAAGATGTAGAGTAAATAATATTGTAGGAATATATGTGAATAAAGGAGCTCCTTTGTCCATGATTCCACAAGTATTGGCAGAACTGGTCTCCTGATGGTGACTTTTATAATCTTGAAAATGCATCAATCTTGACATTATTTGACCTTCTGTTTTGTGATACTCAGATGAGAAAACATATTCCCAGTCCTGTAATTGGAAAAATACAAAAACCTCAATTTAGAAACATTTATATATGTGGGAATAACAATTACATTATCGTATGCACTCTTGTAAATGACAGACGTGTGTGAGTCTTAGGTTGAAATAAGTCACACTGGTAATAATCCAGCATACAAAAAAATACAATTTTTAGCAGTTCTCGTAATTTTACCCATTCAATTTGGTATTTTTGTAGAGGCTTTTAGCAGAGTAATTACGATATCAGCTTAAAAACAATAATACTACGTTTTGGTTTGTCTCTATTGTTCTAGCAATAACCAACAGTTTTGGTTCAGCATTTACTGTGATCAAACGTGGTTAGGCTTGCTTGAGAAACAGTTGATGACATGTTGAAATATTGATTTTTTTTGTGATGCCAGTTTGCCATGTTGAATCAAGTTGGCAAACAGTTACACAGAATATGTAATGTTCATACATTTGTCAATGAAAAAAATCATCCCAGGATTGACAGAGAAACAGATGAGACGTTGGACAAAAAGTGCCGCCAGTCAGTTAAATTTCATCCCAAGCTAAAAATTGCTTTATCAAATTCTTGTTAAAAAAATTTGAAACAAATGGCAAAACATTGACGTGCATCAGTAACTTACTAGGAGATGTGATAAATACTTTTGAATGAAGTATTGAGCCAGGCATGGCATGGAATCCAAAACACAAGTCCCTGTCCAATGTCAAACAGGTATTACAAATATTAACAATCTTTAATATTTGATAATTTGGATTACAAAATGGACCTGTTATATATGACAACTGTAGAAATATAAAAAAAATAACCTCATTGCATCCAGATGGTTTGTGTTTCTTAGCAATAACAGGCGAAAGAGAACAATCTGCATCCATCTGTAAACAAAAATAAAATTACAATTGTTAACACACTTAGCAACTACAATTCCTGACACACATCACAGTACATAGATAAACTATTGTTATAAACTGTTGAATTTTCTTCTATTGCAATTTTATTCTGAAGTTCAATTATAACCTTTTCTGAAGATATCTAGTATAAAAAATATGAATGAATACATTTGTATAATGAAATAAAATTGTTTTCACAGAATTCTGACTGATCATGGTGATATAATGAAACCAAGATTTCCATTCTGCGAGAGACTTGGTGGCTCATATAGTGGACTCCTATTTTACCAGCAGTTAAAGTTATCAACACGCAGATACTGGATGAATAAAATACAATAGAAACTTAATGATCAAAATAGACGAGAAACCAGGATTAATAATAGTCTTGAAGAAAGAAAAAATCTCATGGGTTATTTGAACTAATAATAATCACTTTTAAGTAACATCGTCTGTCACAACATAGACCATGGACAAACACTCTAATTATTCATAATTGTGTTATTTACCTGATGAGTTAGTTGCAGCTTAGCAATGTTGTAACCGACCAACCCAAGCAAGCACATCATAAACCTGTACCACTCTGACTGTCTGGTTGGTCCTCCTGGTGCATTGTGTGTAACATACCATTTTACCATGAGTTGTATGGCAACATCTCTCGGTAGTATGTATTGCAAGGCATCCAAACATCTCTTAACTGAAAGAAATGACAAGGGTTTATGTAGCTACATGTGCAGGAGAACACAAGTTGAACATGGAACAGAGGAATGAGAGGTGAGCAATGACTAGAGAAAGAGGAGTACTGACTGACCAGTGAGAAAAGAGCAATGATCAGTAAAAGATGAGCAAATATTTGTAAGAGACGG